TTGTATTTAATAAAAATCTGAAATAACAATCATGAAAGACATAACATATGAAGCCCGATAATTTTAATTCATTATATTAGAGTACACTAATTATAATATTTTCATAAGCATATATAAGACACTTGGATGGGATTTATCTTCTCCCTGTGACCTACACTTATCCATCCCCCTTTTGGTGCTCACTTCCTATTACCTAAGTGTACCCTTTTACCTGTATGACATTTAAGAAAGTTCTACATATGGTAAGAAATATACAATACCTATCTTTCTGAATTTGGCTTCTTTTGTTTAATATTATGATCTTTAGTTCAGTCCTATTGCACTAAATGGCATGATTTCCTACTTATTAATTGCCAAATGATGCCCCAGTTTTTATCAATAGCACATTTCCTTACCCATTCAGCCACTGTGAGACACCAAAGCTAATTTATTGCCCTGGCTACAGAGAGCATTTCAGGAGAAATATATTTATGCAGATCTTTATGATAAGTCACCTTTAATTAATTTTTGCAGATATTCAGGATTGGCAAATCTGCATCAAGTGTTAGTTCTACTTTTAATTGTTTAGGAACCTTCATACTGGTATTCTTAGTAGAGTATATGTGCAGAGTATAATAAAGGAACTGATCTATTAAGAATATCAAATACAGTATAATATGCACTTTATGCAAATATTGTGTAAGAAATTAAACATACATTTTAATACATGAGAATGTCTTTAACAAAAGAAAGTTTAAAGTGAGGTACATGGAGGAAGGTGCCCCTTCCATTTTATCACATGCGGCTTGCAATGTAGGAAGAGTGACAAACTGTAGACACTGGCATAGAACATGAATGAAAACCAAAATATTTAAATACCAAAATGAGTTAGTACTAAAAATGGAAGTTGAAGACAAAAAAGTAGTCTTATTTGACCATGCTTTATCAGCAAATTTCTTAAGAAACATCCTGGTACATACTATGTACAATTAGGTTGGAGAGATGACTCAGTTGTTAAGATCACCAACTGCTCTTCCAGAGGACCAGTGTTCAGTTCCCAGAATGCACATCACAGCAAAAAGCCATCTGTAGCTCTAGTTCCTGGTGATCTGATACCCTCTTCTGGCCACCATGGGCTTTATACGATACAGGTGCACTTACATACATGCAGGGAAAACATTCAGACACATATAATAAAAACAAAACCATGTGTACAACTGTATATAATTTGGTTTATGACATGTACAACTTCCATGAAATTTATGTAGTAATAGATACTGAAACTAGAGCTTTACAAATCAGACAAACTTTTTACCACTGTTTAATCTCCTGTCTCCATTGCAATTTAAATACAAAGTTTGCACAAATTTTTCTTTATCTTCTGAAGGGCACCTATTACTTCGTTGTTCCTCAAGCTGTAGATAATGGGATTCAACATGGGAATTACCAAGGTGTAGAACACAGAAGCCATTTTATCAGTTTCAAAGGAGTGACTGGACTTGGGTTGTACATACATAAAGAACAGAGTCCCATATAACACAATCACCACCGTCAGGTGAGAACCACATGTGGAGAAGGCCTTGTGTCTGCCCTCTGCAGATTTCATCCTCAGGATGGCCACAAGGATCATTATGTAAGACACAAGGACTACAGAAAGAGATGAAACCAAATTAAATGCTGAAAAGACCAATATTATCATTTCAACATCCTGTGTGTTTGAGCAAATCAAAGTTAGCAAGGGAAGACTGTCACAGTAGAAGTGACTAATGACATTATGACCACAGAAGGATGAAATAAAAATTTTGATGGTAGTGATGAGCGAGAGAAAGGCACTGAAGAGATAGGGGATTGTCACCAGTGCCCAGCACACTTTCTGTGACATGATGACTGTGTAGAGCAGGGGGTTGCAGATGGCCACATAGCGGTCGTAGGCCATTGCTGACAGAACAAACAACTCACTAATAATAAAGAAGATGAACAAAGCTAGTTGGATGGCACACCAATTGTAGGGGATTGTATTTCTATTTGTTGCAAAATTGATCAACACTTTGGGTCCCACAGCTGTTGAGTAACCAAAATCAATAAAAGCCAGATGTCTGAGGAAAAAGTACATGGGTGATTGTAGCCTCTCGTCTATCTTGGTGAGAATGATCATGCCCAAATTCCCCACAACTGAAGTGATGTAGATGAGGAAGAACAGCACAAAAATAGGAGCCTGTAGTTCAGGGCGGTTGGTGATGCCCAGGAGAATGAACTCCTTCGGCATGGTGAAGTTCTGTTTCTCCATCTGAACTCTTAAGGAAATGTGTTGTTTAAGGAATCTATAAAACCCAGTGAGATTCAGGAGATATCACCTGTTAAATATAACAGTTTAAATGTTATGTGTATGATAAGCACATGATTTTGTTTGGTTTTGATAAGCAGTAATTTTTACATTGCTTATGTGCATCACTGTACCTAGAACCAAGCTTTGGAACCATTATGCTATGTATGCTGTGTATGGTTGGCATATTTACAATGTGTCATATATTGATTAGAAATGCAAAATGTATATAATCTCTAATCCATTTGTGATTTTCTCTAAATATAACATAAAAATATATGACCTAGAGTATGAGTTTAAAACTTTTAAAGTGTTTTTGCTTAAAAATATTTTAAACATTAGTTTTAGCAATAGGTAAAATGAAATGCACCATGCAGATTTGTCTCAGCCTTACAAATTTATTACACATCCACAAAATCATCCATAACTCATTTGACAGGCTTTGCTCTATTTCTCTTTGTTCTAACATCATATATCAAATAACATCATTATCCCTTATTCATTGCATATTATGAAATTATATTCTCTCTACTAGTTTTTAAACACTTTAAATATTCTTTATCAGGAGTTCATACAGAGTTTTAATTCAACCACACATCAGGAGTCCTTAAAATTAATAGTTATACAATATTGAACTCAGTATAAGCCCTGTAAGACATAAAATTGAATGCGTTTTTAACCTTTTAAAAAAGATCTACATTTCATTTTAAAATATACCATTTCTTACAGAATGGCTCATTGTTTTTGCTAATAACACTGAGATAGGCTGGAGAGCTGGCATAGCCGTTAGAGGCTCAGGCTCACCCCCCCCAAAAAAAAACAATATCCTTTTACACCATAAAAGCTCATACAGTTTAAATAGAGAGTTCTGCATATCTCTAACTTAAAGAAAATATTTTTTAATAATTACAGTAATTCTAGAGGACTTGGCAAAACATATCTACCCATAAAATTTATTCTATACAAAAATAAATATTCAATACTAGCAAAATAGGCACAAAAATAAAGCATGCATTCACTGAGGACACTGAAACAAAGAAAGTAGCAAGGCCCACTTTAAGTTGAAGAAGCATTGTCTCCAAAGAAAGAAACTGTCCAAAGAAGTTTGGTGGCAAAATGGCTAATCCTAATATACACTCAATATGATTTTCAAAACTGATCAGTTGCTTATGAAATGCTGGTGCTTATAGTATTGGAGACCAAACTTAGTTTCTTATGTGTGGTAGACAGTCAGTGTAGCCTTGAGCCAAATATCCAGCTCAATGCTTATTTATTGCCAAGAAAGTGCCTCACTTAGCAGCCCATGCTGGCCTTGAACTTGTGATCATTCTTCGTCAGTCACTCAAATAGCTGAGATTACCGGTATGCACATTTGAGCTGTTGCCTGTTCCTTTCCCCCTTATCTACTCCCAGAACTGACCTGAAAAGGTCCTCAACATACCCAAACTTACCTGATGGACACACAAATTTCCAAGCGATACAAAGAACTAAGCCAGCAAACTGAAGCTGTGGGTCTCCCGCTTATGCAAAAGGAACAATGTGCCTCGTGAATTACACTACACAGTTTAGTAAGTAGATGCAACTGAGATGAACAAGTTAGGAAAACTGAAAGCATTATGCTTCTGCTCAAAGGAGTGAAAAGGGAAAACTTCAAAAGGAGGATAGACACAGGAAGGAAGAACTGTGACAAGCTCTAAAAATGTGCCAGGCTTGACAGTCTTTAGGTAAGTAAGCATAAATAGAAACATTCACATAGAACTTATTTGGAAAATTCCAAGTGAAAAAGTACAAGTGCACATGCATCTCTTCATGTAAGAGATCCAACAAGTTCGGGGCTTGGCCCAGCAGTTAAGAGCACTGACTCCTCTTGCAGTGGACACAGGTTCGATTCCCAGTACCCACATGGCATCTACCACCCGTACTGAACTACAGTTCTGGGGAAATCTGAAACCCTCTTCTGACCTCTGCGGCATTGCATGACACGGATGCACTCACATACATGTAGGCAATACACTCATACACAGAAAAAATAAATTATTTTTAAAAAATAAAATAAAATAAAGATATTGACAAGTTCATAAGAGCTTGCTTCTTTTTCAGTCTTTACATCAAAATGCACTACTTTAAGAGAAATGCTAATCACAATAATGGTTTATGAATGATATGGACTCAATATAAATCTTCTGAACATTGGAAAACATGCTGCTACATGAATTCTAAAATCCCAGGAGTTCATTAAAAATGTGAAGTTCTTATCTGTGAGCCATATGTTTCTAAGGAAATCCCCAAATCATTACTATGTACCTTGTTACATTTCTTGTAGTTATTTTCTGTACTATTGAGCATTTAACCCAGGGACAGACTTGCTTTCTACAGTGTGCTATGAGCCCACACTCTTGAGACATTAGTTACCTATCAGATTTTTATTGATAATTATGGAATAAAACTAGGTAACATAAGTGTTACCATTTTAACCACTTAATTTTAGGGTTTAGTGATATTAAGTATATTCATATTGCATAAACAGTGACTTAATTTGTCCCCAAAGATTATGATTTTCCATTAGCATTTTATACTATTCTTAGCTTCATGATTATTTTTCATAATTTTTTAAAGAAAGATTTTATTTAGTTTTATTTTTATATGTATAAGTGTATTGTCTGCATGAGTATAAGTGCACCTGTGTCTTGTAATGGAGGTCAAAAGACAATGTCAAATTCCCCAAGCAACTGGAAATATCAATGGTTATTAGCTACCATGTGGGTACTGGGAATCAAACCCAGGACCCCTGCAAGAGGAGTTAGTACTCTTAACCACTGAGTCATCTCTACAGCCACAGCTTCATTATTAATTTATTATATCTCATTATTTAAGAGTCTTCAACTACTTTGGCAACTTCTATAGGCTGAGACTTGTGGCTTTCTGGTGTCTGTATATTAAAGTTAGCATCTATACAGAGACATGGGCAGAAAACTATTTCTCAGCAGCTTTGAATTGTCAATAGCTCCTCAGGTATTGGTGGGACTCTGTGCTCCCCTCCATGTTTGGATTTTGTCTGGCTTGATAGTTTTCCAATGATGCCCATGTAGATGATCTACATCCAAGATTATATGGGTAGTAAAAATTGGATTCTGTGGTAAAAAAATATTTAAAAAGGACACAAAGTTGGGTGGATATGGAAAGAAGTGTTGATATTAGAGGAGATGGAGAGAGGGTGAATATGCTGAAAATACATTGTATGAAATGCTCAAATAATAAAAGTTTTATGGAAAAGAGATAAGAACAAGTCTACTCTCTTTCCAAACTTCCCAAATAGTTTTACGTTTTTATTTTTGTACACACAGCTTATAGAAGAAAGAACACATCAGGATGCAAACCCCTCTTATATTTAGGTATATTTAAGGATTATGTTAAAGGATTGGAGAGGTGACTCAATGGTTAAGAGCACTGGCCAGTCTTGCAGAGGACCTGGTTTTGGTTCCAGCACCCTCATGACAGCAAATGATCTCAACGAATTCCACTTCCAGGGGTTCTAACAACCTGTTTTGGTCTCTGTGGAAATTCCACACTTGGGTTCACTTACATACATGCAGCCAAACCACTCATACATGTAAAAAATAAGAAAAACTCAAGACATTTTTAAAAAGAAGTATGTTACAGAATAGGAAATGCTTTATTTCTGCCCCTGGTTCTTATCAAAGATTGATGGAAGCCTCTGATCACTTACCTGCTGATTGTGGTTCTCTGAGCACCTTTAAAATTATTAGATGTTTAGACAAAATTCCTAAATTTCCAATGAAATACAAATCGGAAATTCTTAATACACACACACACACACACACACACACACACACACTATAAGGAAAGGGCATTATCAAGTCTAGAATGATTGTATTTATGGTATACCAATTTTGTGGAAACAGAACACAGACATTTGATTTGTAATTCCTCAATGTGCTGCCCTCTCCAATCTTTTAATTGATATTGTATCAAATTCTATTTTGTCTCCATTAGAAATGTTTTAGGAAACACTTTCAAGTATAAAATCATCATCAAACATATGAGAACATCGACAAATTTGATACAAAGTTAGCAGAGGGAAAGGTATCTTGTGATTATAGTGTACATTAGTTTAAACAAAATACCTATTCTTACATTTGATCTTTGATGTCTCTAACTGATGTAAGTATGTATGGTTGAGAAGAATCATCTGTCTTCCTCTCTCTTCCTACACTGGGTCACTTTGCACTTTGATGATGACGTGGTAGACTATATGATTAATTTGCATCCTTCCTGATTGCAGTGTTTGTAAGATGTAGCTATGAAGATTCTGGGAATTAAAGTGTCAAAGGATAAGCCTCAACTAATCAGTGATAGTAGTAAATTACTCAAGCAAGACTCAAGCTTTCTGCTATTCTCTGGCACAACTAAAAGTGACCAGCAGGATATCTCAAAACACTATTTCATGAATCTCTGCTGTTCAAGGCAGAAGCCTACTTTTGGTGTGCATGTGGTTAGCTCTCTCACTGTTTGTCTCACGTCACCAATACCAGGTGTGCAAACATTTCTGGAATCAGCTATCAAGTAAACATACTCAAGTACTTTTTTTCACAGTCTGCTATTAGGCAAAATTACTCTTTGAAAAATTTTGTCTTGTATAGTGTTAGCCAAACAGATCTTGAATAGTTATAGATGAATAAAAACAAGTAAAAATGCATTTCTTTACTGAGTGACTGAAAACACCTTCAGAATGTGTTTTGTATTGGAAGCGTTTATACTCATTTTACTCTACCCACCCCCCACTTGAACAGCAACACTCTTATTCCAGTAAGAATAAGGTGACACATTAAAAAAATGCTTGTTTTTTCCTCACTATTTAGAATTCTAGTACAGTGTGGAAATATTAACAATACAAGTGGGACAGAAAAACAAAATAAAACGAAGTGACAATGTGCATGTAAATG